CTTTCCAGGTCCACTGGTGGAACCTCTTCTAACCGGTTCGGTAGATTTGACGAACCGGTTCTACCGAATACGTGCGAATTGGTAGGAACCCACCTCTGCCCAGTGCCATCAGTCATGCTGTCCAATGAATATGGCTGGCAGTCTCCTCTCCTCCTTCACCAGCCACCTGTTATAATGACATATTTCTTATTTTGACTGCAAGCTGGGCTATCTACTCTACCCCCCCACTTCTATCTCAGGCTTTATGGCAACTGTAAGGCAGGACAAGATGGCTTCAGCCAGGTTCACTTCAGAGTTGACAGCAACATTGCAGGCCAACTCTGCCCATAGCCAGCAGTTCAATCCTCACCGGCTCAAGGTTGAGTCAGCCTTCCATCCTTCCGAGGTCAGTAAAATGAGGACCCAGATTGTTGGGGGCAAGAGTCTGACTCCGTAAACCACTTAGAGAGGGCTGTCAAACGGTATACAAGTCTTAGGTGCTATTGCTATTGCTACCCTGTTTCCCTGAAAATAAGACCACCCGGAATAATAAGCCCAATTGGGCTTTTGAGTGCGTGCAGTAAAATAAGCCCTTCCCCCAAAATAAGCCCTCCCCGAAAATATTGCAATGCACCAGCAGCCATGAGGTGACCACGCTCTCTGCCTCCTGCACCTCAAAAATAATAAGACCTCCCCGAAAATAAGGCCAAGTGTTTATTTGGGAGTCAAAAGGAAATAAGATCCTGTCTTATTTTCGGGAAAACATGTTATTGCTAAACTTTGAGGATGCTGTTGCACAGATCCAGCAGGCCTAATCTCTTACACTTAGATGATGCTTAGCTTCTTTCCCTGGTGTAAAGAATTAGTAATGATTCCATGAAGGTTGAGTGAGAAACCTGGTAAGAAATATTCACTGCTGAGAAAGTGAGGCCCTCTGAAATTTGGAACCCTCTCCTAACTTCTGAAGATGTATTTATCCAGCATCGATAGCACCCACCTTGTGGTTCTAGCAATTGCAATTTCCTACAATCCCACATAGTGATACCGGCACTAGGAGAGAATTCCCGTGCTATTTATCATCAATGGACCGCTGATTTTAGCTGCTCACGTAGCCCATTCATCAGATTTCCAGACTCGCAGATTGTTAGAGTCTGTCTCCCTCTAGTGTCGGTTTCTTTTTTCGACCTACTTGCTGTTTCACGGAGCTAGGATGTGCTTCTTGGAATCAGAGATTTCAAGGTCATTTCCATGCTGGAGATTTATAGCATCTTCTAAAGTCATCCAACCTTAGTTGTGTGCCCAAATAACAGTAATGCAGACAGGCTCTATATCACGTCCGTGATGGCTGAGTGAGAGGCTGCTAATGAGTAGTGCAGAAACAGGCTTAAGTTGTATGAAGGCGTGTAAACCAGAGCTGAGTACAAATGCCCTTTCTAAATTCTGAGAAGCATCTCGAGGACAGCAATAGAAAGGGAGACGGAGTCTTTAAATTCCTCCAGGGTGAGATTTCCCCCTTCGGGAAGAAAATTGCATTGCTAGTTTAAAAAAAAACAAAAAACTTCAACTCCCATCATGTCTTTCTTTGAAATTTAAACGTAGTCGGGATGCCGGAGAGAGGACTGTAAAGTGAATGGCTAAAGATTCACACATATGCCAGGGTTATCTCATAGCAAATTAAATGCAGGAATACCATCCTTTGCCAACCACAGTTTCAGTAAAATGCTCTTCTTCTTTGTGGGAAAAAAATCTAAAATCAATTCTCCTTACTTGAACAAAATTAGAACTTTTTTTTGGGGGGGGGGGAATCAGGATATTTTTCTGTGGTTGACACTAATGAAAACATTATTTACTCTTTGGACATAATTCAGTTGTGTTTTTGTTCCCCCTGGGAACATGTGAAGGTGGGTTGTGCCTATCTATTCAAGAGAGCCAGTTTGGTGTAGTGGTTAAGGTGTCGGCCTTGAAACTGGGGGACAGTGAGTTCTAGTCCCGACTTAGGCATGAAACCTGGCTGGGTGACTTTAGGCCAGTCACTCTGTCCCAATCCGATCCATTCCACAGGATTGTTATGGTGGAAACATAGGAGGAAGGTGTCAGGCCTGCAGCCTATATTTTCTTTTGGGTCTTTGGCCTGCCATACTTTCTATTATTCTGCTATGCATTTTCTATTGTGGGAAAATTGGAAGGGGGATTATAAGGAGTTGCGTACTATGTAGCCACAACAAAATTCTTTCTAGAAAGCCAAGGTCATCCTTTGTGTTTTGCCCTTCTGCACCTGACCGGAACTGGATGGGTGGAACTGCCAGCATGGCAGTGGGAGATTGGACCATGTGGGTATGGGAGCAAGATCTTGAATTTTCAACTGGGTGGGGAAAACCGGGAAGCTTTCAGATTTGGGTTTTCCCAGATGTGCCAACAAGGCTCTCTTAATAAATTGGAAGTTTGAGGAATCCTTTGCCTCAGTCTCTGATTTAATTTTGGATGCTATTTGGAACCCTGACATTAACTTCAATCTCCTTTAAAATACTTTGCCAGCTACCCCAAACTTCAGGGTGCTGTCCGGGGTCCTGAGCCTCAGCGC